TAAGCCCATTCAGACCAGTCTTGGGAGCTCCTTAGTTTGGTCCACCGTTTACCTTTGAGGTCTAGAAAGTGCTTCCCTGTTTGTGTCACTTCTGAGTCTAGTATGACTGAAAGTTCAGCTCAATCATTTATGTGGTACAGTACAATGTCAGGTGAAAGCTGTTGTATGAAGAACTTGGTCTTGTGCAATGAGTAACATGGCCATTTTGTTTGAACATCAATTTGATTATTTTCGAAGTGATTTTGCATACATGTGCCATATCATAGTGTACAAATCTGATTTCCTGCGAGTCACTAATTCAAACTAGCTGCAAAGTCCTGTATACAAGCGACAACATATCACTTGACTTGTGATGCCCATGCATGCATGCACAAGACCACAGTACAGTGAGTAGGCCACCTAGACAAGCCAGGGAGTGATCCAAGGATTGAAATGTGAGCTGGTTTTTGCTCTCCCTCTTTCTCTCTCACACGGTTTTTCTCTGAGATGGCCGCAGGGGGAGGTCATGATGGAGTCATTAAGCGTCTCCAAGGCTAGAATAGCAGTGGTGGTGGAGCTGTACTGAGGAGAGGAAGGTAGAGAAGTAGGAGGAGAGAAATAGCACAAAAGAAAAAAGGAATGAGGGATAGGGGATAGGAGGAGAATGAGGAGTGGGAGCCTGGGACATATGAATTAGGAATGAAGGAGGTGGGAGAAATTACATGAGTGAGTGAGAATCAGCCCACCCTCCCTGCTTTTTGGAAGCCCACACGGCCAGCCAGGAGAGGCAGAGGTCAGCATGAGGTAGAAGAGGAGGAGGGAAAGAATGAAAGAGAGAAGGGGTGCAAAGAGGGAGAGAGATGGAGGGGTGTGCATGAGATGGGGGCGCTAATGTGAACCAGCTGTAGAAACCTGACACCTCCAAGAGTGGATTAGAAGGTTGAGGTGGAGGAGTAAGAGGAGGGAAAGAAGGGCTGCAGGAAACGGCACAGAGTAAGAGAAGGATGGAGAAAAGAGGAGGAAAAAAGTCCTCGTGGAGCAAAACAAAGAGTCCCATAGATCACTTGGGCTGCAGAAACCCTCTCTGCTGTACTGTTCATGAAAGCAGAGCTGACTGTGTGTGGAAAAAAAAAAAAAGGGAAAAAAAATAAGTCAGTGTGCAAATTCTAGCTCAAGTGTATGAAAATTTGTCTGAATGATCACACAGCTTCCTGTGTGTTGTTTTCAGCGACAGACTGGTGTGTTGGGTTATCTATTCCTCGGTGAGCCACCACTCCCTGACAATGTGAATCATGACAGCCTTGTCTGTTTGCCTCAGCCACTAGCCACAGTCACAGGCTAATAATGAGCGCTCTATCTGGCAGTGAAACCTGAAGGACAGGGTGATATCACTTCCTGACGCCATGGCATTTGCTCTGTCAACACTGGTTAGATAGCAACAGTTGTATTTATTAGAGCTTATTAATATGAATCTTTCCTGTCAGCACATTTTCATTTTTATAAAATGTAGTGGCTCTACTTATCTTTGAAAACACATCTCATATTCTCATTAGTTTTAGTAGTGAAAATGTGCAAAATGCTCCTAGTGAAACGTAAACCTGGCAGTAAGCTGGACACGGTGCACTGTGTGTGACAGCCTGCTAATGTGATGTATGTCACAGGGCAGGGGGCCGTGTCATTACTCTGGGAACAGGGGCCGGGAGGTGGTCCAGGAGAAAGACGCCCAGTCCTAATTCCCAGGACAGCCATCCTGCTATGATATCATGACCAGGCTGTGTTTGTGTTTAGAGTAGGGAGGGACATCTTTATGTTTTTGAGTTTGTGGGTGAGTGTGTGTGTGTTTTGGAGTGTGTAGGGGGTGGCAGCGCAGACATGCTGATACATGGACACAGGCAGGGGAGAGGGAGGATGGCCGTGTCAAATCTGTCAGGGTCGAGGTGAAGAGGCATAAAGCTTGTCTTTTCTTTGAAGATTGAACATGACAAATCTACCATCTTGTTTGTCTGTTTACCAGCACCATGACATTTGCTCTTTTAATCGAAGATTTTAAAGAATATTTTATGGTGAGAGAACATACATTTAAAAGAGATGGCTGGTGTTTTGTCACTGCTAACAAATATCATGAATAGACCAAGATCAAAGTATCTTGATACTATTCAGTGCCCATTGCCTCTCTATGACAAAGTCAGACATCTTGGGTTAACAAATGTGTACCTTCCTGTTTAAACAAAACTGAGTAATCACCTATAAGTTTTAAGCAAACTTTACTCAACTAGAGAAAACGGTACATTATTTGGGGATTATTTTCAGCAGTGGATTTGGTGCATTAGCAAGCATTTCTGACAGCAGGATGGTGAATTGATCTGTCCATGTTTGGTATAATACATTTCACTATTACTGTTACTAGGATCAGCTCATTTGTTGTCCTTCAAACTTAGTAGTAGTGAAGAGGGTTTGTCATACCTTTGTTAGGTATTTTTAGTGAGATAAATATTGGTTAGGTACTTGTATGTATTAGAAATGTTTAGTGGAGATAGGATGTCTAGTTAGACTGTTAAATGCTTAGGCCTGCTTATGAGTTTCTACAGGGTACATCTGGTCAAGGATAACTAGAGAGAAGAGTTGATGACTGTCAGCAGACAGGGTGTTTAATATTATTATTATGACGTGTATAACTGTAGCCTTAGCCATAATATGTTCTTATGTTTAAGTCACGACATGTTACTAGAGGTCGTGTGAGAATGTTTTTAGCTACACACCACTTAATCAACAGACACACACACA